AAATGGAAATCACCAACATAATAAACCAATTTTTTTATTCATTAATACAAAAACAAAGCAACTAAACATCGTTTTTCTCTAATATAAACATAATTTCTCACTAAGGTTAAGAAAAGTTACAAACAACCAAACTTAAAAAAAAAAGCATTTGGGGCGTATTTGCCCGAAACTTGTGAAATACGCCCCTAGTAGAAAATTAACGTTTTTTCGTGGCACAAAGATTACACATGTTTGTGTGGTTCGTGCAGGTTTCATGTAACCATTTACTACATGCTTCACATTGAATCCAGTCAACCTTAGATTTGGTGGTGTAGTAGTATTCGCGACATTCAAGGCAGTAATCATCAGTGTCATCAGATAAGTCTTCAGAGGAGCTAAAATGTGGTTCAGTTTCCGACGAAGACGAACTTGATACATTTTGTTTTCTTTTAACTTGTTTAACGCAGGCTTTCCTCCTAATTTTTTTCTCATTTTCGCTCGGCTTTTTTCGTTTGTCTTTTTTATCTTGAGCTTGTTTTTTTTTCTCTGAGAATACTCGTCTTTTAACCCGATTTCAGGAGACGTCAGTTCTAAAGCATGTTGTTTCCTTTTCGGAATTGTATTAGGTATTAGAGGAATTGGGTTATCTTCTCTTAAAAATTTTGAAGGAGTTTCTTTTTCTTCTAAATTTAATGAAACTTCTGAGGCTTCGTTGGAGGTTTGAGAATCGGTAGACATATCACAAACACCCATGTTTGTATGTCCAGGAGAGAAGGAAGTAGAAGGTTGAGCTTTATTTGGCCCTGGAGTTAAATTAGAATGATTTGATGTTGAAGGAAGAGCTTTATTTGCGCTAGCGGCTCAGATACTGGCGTCCGAAATGGAGAAAAAATGTTCTGGAATGGCCTGAGGATTGTATGGATAAATACCACAAGCTCTGAACCCAGATGTGGCATTCGCGACGGTTGCCGCTTTTCCCCATGCATTCCCAATTAATCTCGAAATATTTATTCTGGATAGCTTTCTATTTTTATTTTGAATCATCCAGTTTTTTGCTTCTTGAAAGAAATAAGTTTTAAGTGGCTTAAAAAAAGACCTGTCCAAGGGTTGAAGAGCTTGTGTCGTATGACTGGGGAGACACAAAATAACTACTTCATTTTCATTAGCTAAATCTAATAGCTCAATAGCATTACAATGGGATGCGTGCCCGTCCAATATTAATAAGGCTTTCCCATTGCCTTTTTTTGGCAAAAAGTAATCTTTAAACCATTTTAGGAATAATTCTGAATTAATGTAGGATGATTTTGGATTCATTAGCACACCGGATCCGGGAGGAAGACCATCCAAAAATTCATCTTTTTTGTTCTTTCCTTTAAATATTAAAACAGGTGGCAAAAAGTAACCTTCTGCGTTGCAGCATGAAACTAAGGAAATATTTTCTCCTCTTTCTGATGTTGTCAATGAATAAACATCTTTTGTCCCTTTAGTTGCTACTACTTTCCCAGGCTTGTTGTTAATCTGAATGCCTGTCTCATCGACATTGAATATTTTATCTGGTTTATTAAGCAAGTTATTTTTATGATGACATCGCGCAAAAGAGTAAAAAAATTGCTAACATCTGTTCTGTTCATTCCTGTTGCCCTAGCTAGTGAGAGCCTTTCTGACTTTCTGATACTAAGCTCTCTATTACGTCGCAAAAACCCTTGAAACCAATCATCCCCAGCTGATTTGGCTTCTCTGGAAAATCGGTGATTTAAATGAAGCTTCTCTGCAAATGAAAATGCCATTTTTTTAACAGAAGTAGCATCTGGTGCAAAGCCAACTCTTTCAAGGGCCTTTAATAATAATAATAATAATAATAATAATAATAATGGTTTATTGGTGCTATTGCACAGAACGTGCTTACACAAGTCAATATAATAGAAGCGCTCAGTTACAAGAAGAAAATAAATGACAAACAATACATATAATAACAAACAGTACAGATTACACACACTTAAATATGGTTAAGAGGATGTCAATAAAACTATAAAAGATAAAATTATTACAAACTACGTTAAAATCAATAAATAAATATCATAAGAGATAGAACTGAAATAGATATTTTATACATGGTTCGAATAAGTAGCAAAAAAAGGAAATGTAGCTAGAAATATAACTATTGAGTATCCTTGGAGAAGTTGTGGTTGAGGAACTCGTCAATGGTGAAAAAAGCAGCGGACAAGAGCAATTTTTTCACAGCATTACTGAAGTCATTGTATGCTAGTGATCTCAGTTCCTTAGGTAAAATATTATAAAATTTTATGCCATGGTAGTTAACTCCATTCCTTGTTTTAGCAAGTCTATGTTGTTTTGGGTACAAGTTGTCTCGGTGTCGGGTATTATATGAATGAGTTTCATGGTGGCTTGTATAAAGGTCAGGATTTGACTTGACATGCAAGAGGCAGCTCAATATATATGTGCCAGGCAAAGTCATGATCTTTAGTTGATAAACTCAGATCTGCAGGGATCTCTATATCTTAGATTTGCTATATATCTGATACATCTTCTTTGTAGGGCAAATACTCTGTACATGTGGGGAGAGTGGCCCCACGCCAGAAGGGCGTATGTCATTTTGCTATGGAAGTACCCATGGTAACTGGTCAACAGGACGTTTAGTGAAACTGAGTGTTTTAAATTGCGAATTAAATAAATTATGCTTGTTAGAGATTTGGTAACATGACTGATATGTTCATACCAGTTCAAGGAGGAGTCGATATAGACACCAAGAAACTTCACAACCTTTGCGTGGTCACCATTCTGATTGTTATTTCGAAGTGTGATTGTCAAGGATTGAGATTTGTTTGAATTTAATGTTAATTTGTTAGCTATAAACCAATTCTGAATGCTAGATATACTGGCCGTCGTTTCGCTGTTGATGTTTGTAAATGAATCGTGGGCTGAGATCAGAGTGGTGTCATCAGCATAAAGAATGAGCTTACTGTTCATAGTATTAAGAAGACAATTTGGTAGGTCGTTTATATACAGTAAGAATAACAAAGGGCCAAGGACAGATCCTTGTGGCACGCCATGTAAAACTGTGCTGACTGACGATGTGCAGCCATTGTATTCGACGAGCTGTTGCCTTTGCTCTAAATAGGATTTTAGGAGGACTACAGCAGAAGGATCGATTGAGTAATACGGTAGCTTGAAAGAAGTACATCATGCTGTACACAATCGAAGGCCTTGCTCAGATCGAAGAAATTTGCCTCTATATATTGCTTATTTTCAAATCCATTGTGTGCAATGTCAATAAAACTGTTTATTGCAGTAATCGTTGATAAGCCTGTTCTAAAGCCATATTGTTGAGAATTTAGGAAATTGTTGGATTCGAGATAATTGCTCAGTTGGTCCTTGAGTATAATTTCAAAGATTTTCGCGAAGTAGGGTACCAATGATATAGGACGGTGGTTCGAAACTTCGTCAACAGACCCGTCTTTATATATAGGAATTACCCTAGATATTTTTAGAGCTGCGGGGAAAATATTTGATTCTAAACACATATTGATTAGCTTAGTAAGCGGGTAAATAATTACGTTTAACATCGATTTCACAATTTTACTATTAAGTTTATATACGTCGGTGCTTTTAGAGTTTTTGATAGAATTAATCGCATCCCTAACTTCATTGTATGTAACATCACGAAAAGAAAATAGATTTTTTCTGCTATGATTATCCATATAGCTTAGCTGTGAAGTGCCATGTGACGGTAAGCTTTCTAAAAGGTTATTAACAACGGTGGTGAAAAATGAATTAAACTGGTTAGCGTTTAGTGTTGTGGTAATTTTTTTATCGACAGGAGCTGCATTGTCTTTTATAATACTCCACATCGCTTGCTGTTTATTATTCGATGAGTTTATATACATATCGTGTGCATCTTGCTTACGTTTTACTATTTCAGCTCTGTACTTGGATTTCAGGCAATTTATTTCGGATTTAGTCACAGTTGATGAATCGATTTTGTGTAATTCTATCAAGAAAGTTAAGTGATCGCGCATGCCACGTAACTCATTGTCAAACCATTGGACTTGTTTCTGTTTATTTTGGAAAACGCGTGTTTTCTCTGGTAGACATTTACCCACTGCATCGGTCACAACACGTATGAACAGCTCAAACTTCAACTCCACGTTTAGATTTGCATCATTTACAAACTGCCAGCCAGTACTTTCCAAACTGCTGTAAAGTAGAAAAAGACCAGTATCAGTAATTGGCCGATAACTTACCCTTTTGAAGCTGTTTTTTTACCAGGTTGAAAACAACAAAACTCGATCCCCAGGTGATCCGACAAGTAAGTATCAAAGATATTCGTTTTGAGAAAACAGCTGCCTTGGATGTTCGTGAAAATGTTATCCAAGCAATGCGACCCTCTTGTACTGTCTCTGATCATATATTGCATTCCATAACAGCTAAACACATCAATAACTTGGTTTGCCCGCTCATCATTGGTACCAAATTTAACATTAAAGTCTCCAGTTACCACTACATGCTTCTCATAGTCAAGCTGGTCTAATGTAATACATAGCTTATTTATAAATCTATTGAAGTCACCTGCAGGAGATCTGTATATAGTGAGAATCTGAAGTTTATCAAAATATATGCCTGCAACCTCAAACGTCAATTCTTCGGCCTCTATCAGACATGAAGTGCGTAAAGGTGAAGCATTTGAGTCCGTTTTTACATATATGACAACACCACCATGAATTTTTTTCACTCTGCTAAAATTGGAAATGGATTTATAACCGTTTATGTTAACGTAGTTAATTTCGTCATTTAAGTACCAGTGTTCATTTAAGCAAATTACATCATAACTGTGTTCAAGACCTAATAACGCTATATCGTTAACCTTTTGTCGTAGGCTCTGTATATTAAGATGTAACAAATTTACCATGCATTTATTATTAGCTCGTGTTATCTTATTACTATCTAAATTTGTATACAATACATTATTTGAAACGCTAACATTTAGGAAGCTATGATCTTTGTCATTCAAGAAAAAACCGCTTATGACATGGTACTGATTCAGTATTAATTGTCTTCAACGTCATATTATTTTTATATGGGTTGCTCAGTAGGATATCATGAACATATCCTGCAATGCCCTGTTTTGAACCTTTCATGCGATTGTCATAGGTGAGCGATATTGACGTATTTCTGTTAAATTTCCTATAAGTGGTAACTTTGGAATTTATTCTATTTATAAGGTTATTATCAGCGTGTGAACTTAATTCGTACAGAAATATTAAGTTGGTAGTGCGGCCAAGTGGTAGAAGGTTGCATAAACCCTTGTTTAAACAATAGGAACTATTGATATTTTGAGTCTTAATCATGAAAATTACAAAGTCATCTTTTCCATAAGGTATTGTTTTGGTGAATATATCCTTGGTCGCCATTACAAACTCGATATTTGGCTTTACATAGGACTCAATGGTAAACCTGGATTTGTCAATGTACAGTTCTAGAACTTTTCTGAAGTTCCTGGCATACTCGTCACCAAAAACAAGTATCTTCCTACGGTCGTTTGGGTTGTTTTTATTTGTTGCTGCCGGTGATGGCAGGGCAGCCGGTTCTTCGGTACAAGGCTCCAACAGTACCTCGTCAGTAGGACACTCAACTTCACTCTCCAGACCACTGGTATCGGTTAAGTCGATTGAACATTGAATAAGACTGTTAGTATATGATGAGCTTCCATCAGTTGGTTTGTTCCCGCACGCTGGTTTCCTATATGGTGGTGGTTCAGGTGTTTGCGTGTGCGCTTGTTTCTGGTCCACAGTGTCAGTTTGCATTCCACACTCCGATAATATCTTTGGCTCAGATTTTAACTTTTCAATCAAATCTTTTAAATGGTTAATGGTTTTTTTCTTTATTCAAAAGCTCATTAGATAGTTTTCCTGTTTTTTCTTTTAATTTTACAATGATTTCACTCAGCTCATTATTCTTGGATTGTTCACTGGCTAGTTTGTTTCGAACATCTGATAGTATTTCTTCCTGCGTAACAGTTTTGTCTTCAAAATCATCAGCTTGTAGGTGAATATAGCTATTATTAGCTTTATTCATTTTCACAGAGGTAGGTTTTTTCAATTTAGACTGTTGTCTGGTATTCATCTTTATTTTTCGATGTTTTCAGGTAATTTTCGAAACAACTGGCAACGTTCTAAGTCAATCGAACTGTGTGTTTACATCTTTTTGTGGTTAATTCCAATGATATTTCCCACAATTTACCTGTTTTTTTCAATATGCATCACTATTCGTCACTATTAACTGTTTAATTATCCGAATCTGCGTCGGCGATATTTTATCAGGAGTTTACACTACTTATTTATGAATGTAAGACCAGCCTTCTTTCGTGTTCTATTCCTATTTCTGGACAACGGCCTAAGCGTACTTTTGAAGACTTGGCGATCAAATGCCTTCGTAAAGTACGAGATGAAATCCCATACGCTCTACTTGCTTCATTTGTGCCCATTTCTCTTGAAATTACCTTTTGCATAGCCTCTGCCAATGCTTCTTCACTAAATGAAGCACGGGTGGTTTTGCGAACATATACTCTACCCATATTCTGTAAACCAAAAGTACCTAAATTAACTAAAACTCACACCATTGGGTGGGGCGTTTTACACGAATTTTACTGGGGCGTATTTCCGAAACGCGGGGGAATACGCCCCACCGGTTATCAAGCTAACATGAAATGCAAACCGAGGCGGAATTGGCGCAATTTATAGGTTAGAAATGGTGTTTGTCTAAAGTGATCCCAAAACTATAAAAATTTTGCAAGACATTCTAAAATAAAACAAAAATATTACATACCTTAAAATTTTATGGGCTCTAGATGACAGTAATGCATATTTTTTTCAAATAAAACGCAATAAATTGGCATAAACACACACGGCCGACTTTCTGGAGTATGACAGCAACGTAATGGCGGTGGCTAAGGTAACTGCTGCCGGACGTAATTTGTTACGGTGACACTGGGGCGTATTCCCCGGTGAGGCGTATTTCACCGGTTTACCCTATAACCCCGATTATCCGAATCGCGATTATCCGAAACAGATCGCATACAATTTATCCGTTTTAACCGAAGTTGTTCGGGAAATCGGCGCATGATCCGAAATAGCCGCTGGTAGTTCCCCTTTCGGCGTTTGCGTCATTTGGTTCGCTGCCGGTGATTCCCCAAGCGGGTTTGCGGAATTCACTGGTACGTGTGCGTGTATGTTTTTATCAGTCAGGTTCATAATCGCTAAGACGGAGCAGCATAGAAATAAATGTAAACGCGTTGTGATTACCATAGAACAGAAACTTGAGGTAATCAGACGTTTAGATAGAGGTGATTTGCTTAAAAACGTGGCAAGTGATTTGCGTGTGGGCGTGAGTACCATTTCAGAATTGAAAAAACAACGCGAGAAAATTGAAAAGTGAAAATCATTCGCCTTATAAAATTAGTTTCCTCAAGTCAACTATTGTAGGTTTGTCTGGATGGTACTTATTGTTATTTAACACTCTCTTGCTGTTGATGTTTGATACACCAATTTCTCGTTCTATAGTTCGTGCTGATACACTAGGGATTTCGTTGACAGCTTGTAAAATGTTTCTGTCTCGATTTTGATTTTTAATACTGTACCCACCTCTAGGTTGTTCGAAGGTCCCACGTTTTATTACATTAACTACTATTTTTTTAATTATGGTTTTATGAGGCTGCCGTCGTTCGGACTACATCTCCAGGTACCTTGCTGAGGTAATGTCGGCGTTTCTGTATGACTGCAAGTACAGAGCATACATATCAAACTGTTCTTCATTTGAGTAAGCCATTTTCTACAGGTTTTGCCATTTTTTTTTCAGATTTATGATTTTAATTGGAGAAAACGTACCTACTACCTATTACAATACAATTTTAATACTTTGAATTATTTAACGTCAAAGTCAGAGCCTCCTTAGATGAAAAAATGAGTTACTTATTAATATTGTTTTCTGAAAAATAAATCATGTCCTCCTTAGAAAAAAATTAATACATAACGTTACGAGTGATGATATTTCGTTTATATTCCAGTTTATTATGCACTTGTGAGACATTACTAGGCTGGAAATTTTACGCTCTTTTCGAAGATAAAAGAATCCAATATGTCGCCCATAAGAAAAAAGAGGGTTGAGGCAGGTTGCGGGAAAACAAAAGACGATTGAGACATGTCATGTACGCTATCTTATTTGCCTTAGAAAAATGTCCGATTAAAGTCACATTTTGACAGCAGTAGGTATAACAGGAGCCGAGATCCCTGTATAGAGAAGCGAGTCTGGGATACGCTTTATACCAATCCGGTTAAGACAGTTTGGCCGACAATTGTGGCTTCATTTTGTGTGCTAACTTTCGATACAATTCAATGTGAGAACAAAACTACTTTCCCGGAAAAAAAAAACCCTAACAATTAACCGTGTAAAAATGACAGGTCTAAATATGAATAAACAAGTGTATGAAAAAATTTTAAATTTGGTTTCTAACACCATAGCATATTTGTCCGCATCTTCACACATACGGAATGTATGAATTTGTTTAAACGAGAAAACTGTAACCTTCCGCTTTTCCCATAAAAATAACGTTTAGCTTGGGAAAAATGGATTATGATTCCTATCGGAGAGATAAATTCAAGTGAATTGTTATGAAATGTTCGGTGTACGAACCTTGTATTTTGCTTCATAACCTGAAAATGCTGCCTTGAAAACAGATGTTCTGACATAACCAATTCGAAATTCTCACATACTACTTCGGTCGATACCAGTTTTGTTGTTGTTAAGAAGTATGACATATACCGGTTCAAAAAATTCCAATTATATGAGCGACTCTAGCGTCGCATTACCCACAAGTGCCAAAGCTTGAATTTAGTGAGGATTTTGCCTATATCTGCTTTGCTATTGATCGGACACTTTTCTGTGTTATCTCATTTTGTAGGTCTTGAGTAGTTACAAGTCTTATTTGAAGAAGAAGAGGATTTCGCATTCTTTGTTGCTAGATAAAAACTAAGCTATCCATTCTAAGCGCTCATGTTTTGAATACCCCAATGAATAACAATAAAAAAAAACAACCTTTATACTCATTTTGGGAAAATTTGATAATATGACTAGACTAACGTATGTCCTAAAAGTTTGGGCACAAAATACTTATCGGTTTTTTTAATGAAGAAATTTACTTAAGCACTAACCTGTGATCATAAATTACAACTCAATACATAACTAAACTATACTAGCGAATTATGTGGGGTGGCCCACTCTGCTCTACCAGATGCAACTTTATTTGAGTGTCTCTCATGAGGTCCTGGACGGAATTCTGATCAATTTATCTCAGCTTTTCATAAATTCGCCGTATTAATTGTTCTTCATCTTGGGCTTCTCAGCCTCCATGATAAGTCTTCCTAGATAGTAAAGCCCAAAAATGCTCTATTGGGCGAGTCTGCGGCATCATTTGTATATCATTTTTCCTATTTACATAACGTTAATAAACATTAATCTTCTCGCAAAAATATATGTTTCGTGCTGGTGGTGTGGGAAGTCGCAATATATCCAGAGCTGAAACTTATGGTATAACCCGGCTATTTCATTTCGTTTCTAGGAGCCTTGTTAGCTGTAATGAAATTGTTTCATTACCTCCCGCCTTTTTAATTTCTGTTTAGCAATTACCCGGCCTCTTCTCTCCATTTTTATTGCAGTTGCAGTATCCAGCACCGGCAGGGGTAGGAAACTTCACAGCAAGGACAGGTTTGAAAAGAAAAATGTTTAGATCTGCATACATTGCACTGATACTCTAGAGCTGCCTTATGTGATAAAATTGTCAGCTTAGTGCTAAAAGTGCATTATGCCCCATGGCAATTATGTCAAAATTACTTGTGACAGGAACCCCAGCGAAACATATCGGTTTGAGTCATAAATGTCTAAAGACGTCATATGATAGACTTATTTTTATATTGCTTTAGGTTTAATTAATTGTTTGTAATATAAAATTGTTTTGGATTCCAAGTTGTAGCTTGCACCCGTAGCGCCGTCGTCTTTGGCGTCCACCGCTAGTCGCCACATCATTGAGCTTCCATATACTCCAGTAGGCTAGCTTGACTACGAATTGTAGCAAAGTCGCCATGGTGTCCCGGAGAAGGTTGATGTCCACACTACATACAAAATAACCATGAAAATAGTGCATGAAATGGACAGATCCTCAAAAAACTCGCTAAGCTGTGCAACACCAGATTTGTACCTAATAAAATCTTGGCCCGACCTGGTGACCAAAGGCGTCATGACTACAAAACCATAGACCAAATCTGCAATTCGTTTAAACCTGAAACAAAAATTGAAGAAATAAACGTTCATAATACAACACTTAACACAAGTAAAGATATTGCTGATACATAATTACTTTATAGACGTAGGCAAAGAATTAGCAATGAAAATAAACAAACCTACCAGAAATATTTCGCACAGAAAATGCATACAACAATCAATTTTCTTAGAACCCGTGTCTGAAAATGAAATAAGAAATTCCATATACAGTTTGAATAAAATAAGTCTTCATGGTATATGATCAGAAATGTTAAAGAAGATTTCACCCGAAGTCAGTAAACCCTTGACGTATATAGCGAACTTGATCGTTTACACGGGAGAATTTCCAGAAGATTATAAAGTAGGAGTAGTAAAACCCGTCCACAAATCCAGTGAATAATTGCAGGCATATAACTGCTTTGTAAACATTATTGAGAACATTATAAAAATACGATTTCTGTGATGTGTCTTGAAACTGTCAAACATCTCTTAAATAAAGGGGTAAACGTAAAATTTGTGTGGTTGCCAGGACACGTTGGTATACAGGGGAATGAAGCTGCTGATATGGCAGCGAAAGCAGCAGCAGCGCAACAAAACATCGACATCCCTGAAATAAAAATGTCTGATTATAAAATCTACCTCATAAACCGTATACAGCGACACTGGCAAATTACATGGGGTAACACTGATACCCACTTAAGACAGATAAAACCTAGTGTAGGATCATGGCCTCATCCTATCAGACTGCCACTAGAGGAATGGGTGCGCATACATCGCTTACGCTTTGGCCACACACGTCTTACACATGCACATCTTTTGCTCGGAACAGATCCGCCCTTGTGCACTGGATGTGACTCTTCACTCACTGTACGCCACATTATCTGCACATGTCCGATATTGTCCCAATATCGAGTGATCTATGGACCATTTGTTAACCTGACGGAGGGTCTCACACAACCAGAAAAACTGAAAAACGTCATATTATTCTTAAAAGTATCTGGTTTCTATTGGAAGATCTGACCTAATGAACTTTTTGGAAATGAACCATTCTAATTTTTGTGTATAATATTCTCAACTGAGATTGAATGAATGTTATGTAACGATGATTTTGCATCATACCTACCTTAGCTTAGTATTGTCATCTTGAACTAAAAGAAATATGTAGCAATAGAATTTGGATAAGTCGAAATACTTACGTGAACGCAAACAAGATCGTGAAATGCAGATAATGACCACAAAAAAAAATATTAATATTAATATTAATGAATATATGCGTGACAAATTTAGTCGTGTAACATTTCCCAGAGATTATCTTTTGTTGCTAATAGATTCTGAAAGTAAATGACAATAGTATATCCTTTTCGATTAATATCAGGAATTTGCATACTTAGTTTTTTAAAAATGCGACACTTACCACTTAGACATGTAAGAGATTATATATTTTATACTTTCGATTTATATATTATATTTATATATTATTGAATACGGCTAATAATCATAGAAGTTGACGCCGTCAAAAAAAACAAAATACGACTTCTAATTTTTTTTTGTAAACATAATCTGATTAATGAAAAAAAAAATTCAATTCCAGAAAAACAAGTCCACTCAAGACGCAATTTCTTTTTTGACATCAAAATGATCCAAATTTCTCGACTGAAATAAATATACTCTGTGTGTGTTCTTGGATCTAGCGAAGGTATTCGACACAGGTATCAGAGGCAATACTTGTAACCTCACGAAAAGTCACCTTTCCAACAGAAAACAGTGCCTATGAATAAATAATTCCTGATGCACAAGCAAATTGGTATCTTATGGTGGCCCTTAAGGGGCTCTTATTATTTGCACTTTACATTAATAGCGTGCTTAGCTTAAAATCTGTAGCTACAATCAGATACGGTTATAACTTATTCGCATAACTACTTGGATGACCTCAAGGAAAAGGTTGAAAGAGACTTAATAACAATTGCAGACTGGTTCAGGCACAACTGCCTAGCTATCAACTTAAAAAAAACTATGTCCATACCATTTACAAATCTAAGAAACAAATTACCATAATTTGATCCTATACAGACTAATTGTGATAATACCAATACTCAAATATATTTATCAAACAAATTAAAATATCTAGGTGTATATTTAGACTTACATTCAAGGTAGAATATAAATATTGATCACGTAAAAGCCAATCTGAGACCATTACTGTTTAAATTCAAGTATTTAAACAAATATTTGTATAAATAATACATCAAAATTTCATATCATGCTATGATAGAAAGTATATGAGTTATGCAATATTAGGTTGGGGTGCAGCACTTAATAACCACATCAACAAATTGGAGATTATCCAAAATAATTTTTAAAAAATATTCTTTGACAAGCCTAGGCAACATTTGTTTACAAAATTATAGTTTATCTATTTCAATATCAAATAAACACCTTTCACCAAAAATAGGTCAAAAATGTCACACTTATCTTTTCAGTATTTAGCATATTACCGAATGATTTAAGGAATATTTCTAATAAAACCAAATTCAAATTTGAAAAAAAAATATATTTTGAGAAAAATCGACATGAATTTGCAAGGATGATGCGTGTGAAAGAAAATTAAACTCAATGTAGCAATTCAATGAATAGTTATGTAAATATTTCTCTAAGTTTTAAGTAATTCATTTCTACCTACAAGAAGTAATTCTTCTGTGGGTATTTGCAGTTTATTTACTTATGTATAGTTATGTGTGTTAGTTTTAGTTATGATATACAATACGGGAATAAACTTATTATTATCATTATTCTTATTATTAATTTAGCCATGACATTAAAATATTGAATCAATAATCAATAGAGAACATATCTATATCTCTCTTTTTCTCTTAGCGACTGATCTTGATAGCTGACGTATCCTCTAACAAGGACCAGCTGTATATTTTACTACAGATTTTGATAGGTTTTGGATAACATATTCCAACATTATATCTGTCATGTTTTCCATCGGGTAAACAGTTCACCAGTGTACATATTTCCCGAAGGATGAATTTAATAAGCGTGATAATTTAAATGTCAGGTAATCAGGCAGTAGCGAGGGCGCCCTTACGGCCTCATATGCTCCGAGGACCCTCGATATTATACAACCTCCCTGCTGCCGTTGAAAAAGGCAGCAGCGCGTGGAGATAACGCGGCATTAATTCATGGGAGCAGCACGTGACGAGCTCCAGCGGCTTAATTACATGTTTCGACTAATTATACACAAAAAAAGGAGACAAACCAGAAGAGCAAAGCCGAGAGGTGGAAAGAGAATTTTAAAATACATGTACGTCTTTACGTAATATAACAAGAGGTTTCGTAACTCTCAAAAGCATAATTCAGATTTTATTCTTCTATCTCCTCTAGAGTAGACATTTACTATTCTCCAGATGTTGCAAGCAAAACAGATAAATGAAGTCAATAGCACTAGGTCGATAATGTGTGGAAATAAAACGTTAACTGGTACTATCATAACCAGTGATGGAATTATATATCGTAAAATACACCATTGTATACGTATATGTGTATAAAATTGTAATTGGATACGTCTTCATATTCATGTAAACTATGTAGACAATGTGCACAATAACAAATAATAGTCTAATTGGCTCGCTTGCATGTATACAACACATGACATACGTACAGATATTTATCATAATATAATGTTTAATAATGTTTATTGTCACAAAATACAAGTAAATATCAAATATTGTGCACAATAAACATAAAGCACCCAAAAAAAGTTTGCACTTGTGTTTGGGTTTGTACAAAATAAAAACTAATAGTCAGTCAGTGTATGAAAAAAAAAAGAAAAAACCCGTTAATACTGTATAATTTGGTGAATTATTATGGTAATGTCAGGAAAAATATCCCGACAATTAGAACTGAAGTAAAAGTATGGATGTTAGTGTAAGTAAAATATTATTGATTTTGATAATGATTTTTCAGATCTACAATTTCCGTGGATGGAGTACCTTGGTTGTTGTAAAATCCATTTTTTTAGTTGTTTTTTAAATGATTTATTTGATTTAATTACTATTAATGACTCTGGTATGAAGCTATAGAATTTTGGTCCCAAGAAAAACAGAGATCGTTGTGTAATGGTTTTTGATGTTTGTGGAATACACATTGAATTTTGATTGAATCTTGTTGGGTAGTTATGAATGGTACGATTAAAGCATTTTGAATATTTGAAATAATGTATTAGACCACAATAAAAATAAATTTGTCTGCAATCTAATAGCTGAGCCTCCACATATAGAAAATCACTTGAATAAGTAATCTCCCTATGGAGGATCAATTTTAGAATTAGTTTTTGGATTACCTCAACCTTTTTGTAATTATTATTCATAACTCCCCCCTAAGCCAAAATTCCGTAAAGTAATAGAGGATAAACAGGAGCATAATATAGATTATATAGATATTTCTTATCTAGAATATCTCTGAAGTACCTGAATTTTGGAATAGTACATCTCAGTCTCTTCACAAGGTACTCTGTATGGGTATCCCATTTTAAGTGTTTGTCCAAAATCACGTCTAAGTATTTTATTTTATCGGCTGACTGAATCTCTTTGAGACCACTGCTTGTGTGAATTTCAAGTTTTTTAAATTGTGGTGAGAGCCTGTCGTTACAAGAAAATGCTATATAGTGTGTTTTGTTGTAATTAATTGTCAAAGTTCTTTCCGAAAAGAAATTTATAAATGTTTTGAAATCATGTTAGATTGTGGTTTTTAGTGTATGCCACTGGTTGCTTTCATAGAGAATAGCTGTATCATCCGCAAAACCGATAACTTTACCTGTACTACTTATTTTGAACAAATCGTTGATAAATAGACTAAATAAAATGGGTCCTATTACTGAGCCTTGAGGTACACCGTATGATATAATATGGGGTTCACTGAATGTGTTATTAAATTTGACGCACTGTGTTCGATTTGACAAATAATTTTCTATAAGTTTGTATGTTATTCCCCGGAAACCTAAGTTTTCTAAAGTTGTTAAAAGCGATTCATGAGTAGTAGAGCCAAATGCCGATCGCAAGGCACTGATAGCAGCTGTCCCGTAATTTCGATCCGGAAAATTTTTTAGACGAGAAGCGAGATAACCGAGGTATTTACTATGGAAACTGACCCAGCGGGGTCAGAAAATGGCGCTTCCACCATGGCAATGGAGATGGAGTCGAAGGAGCAGACCATAGAGGAGTTGAGAGCCGAATTGGAGATGGTTCGACAGGAGCTGTCAAAAAAGGACGATGATAAGAAGACCATTGAAAGATTGATGATGATCAACGAAGCCCAGCAGCGGACAATTACCGACCTAACAGTTAAATTAGACCTCCTACTGAAAACCCAGATACCTTCCCATCTAAATATTACACATTCTTCCCAAACACTTCCCAAAAATCCCAGTAAAGGCAAAGCTGTCAATCTTAAGAGACCGTTAAATAATTCAAACGATCTTTCCACAGACGACGATACACTCCCTGACGGTTTTACCAAGGTTAAGCCCCGTAAAACGCGACGAAACAAGACTGATACGACAGGCTTTCCTCCTCTCACTCCACCAAAGTCGCGGTCTGAAACGTCTCATTCAACTGCAAGCGACTCGAATAAACAGCCTGTGCCTAATCTATCGGTTACTTCCACGCCTTCGACATCTCAGGTACCAGAAGACACGACTGCACAGCCCCCACGCAAGGTACGTGTTACCCCCATCGTTCTTCGCGATGCTTCGAGATGGCGAGGCGTAAATCACAAGTTTATTTCTTTGGGCATCAAATTCGAACGCGCGGTTGCCGTCGATGCAGGAATCAGAATAATTCCCAAGTCCGAGGATGATTACCGCAGGATTATTCGTCTCTTCAGGGAGGAAGAGGTGCCCCATCACACTTTCCCTCTACCCTCGGAGAGGAACATTCATGCTATAATCAGAGGAGTACATGCGACACTTTCGGAAATTGAGATCAAGGAAGAGTTGCAACAGAGGGGATATGTCCCCCTGCACATAATTCGCCTGAAGCGCGGTGGCGGCGTGCCCATGCCTTTGGTGGTAGTCATACTGCCCAAGATAGAAAAATCTCAGCAGGTGTTCAACGAACACGAGCTGCTAGGTTTGGCTATCCGAGTCGAAGTTCAAAAGAACTCAAGACTCATCGGGCAGTGTCACCGCTGCCAAAAATACGGGCATGCGCAATCTTACTGCACTGCACCACCTAAATGTCTAAAATATGCTTCTGACCACATGACCCACTTATGCCCTCAAACAGAACAAGAGGAACGAAAGTGCGCGAACTGTGGTGGGGGGCATCCAGCGAATAGCCGAACTTGCAGATTTGCCCCTAAGAAAAATCTGCAAGTGATAGCGCAAAGGCGCAATGTAAGTTACGCGGATGCAGCTAGAGATGCAACCCGGGCTGCCCCCTCTGTGGGATCTTCTGCGAACACGCAAAATGTGGACCTGGCAACCGCGCTAAGGTCCTTACAGCAGATCATAGGTCCTCTGATTAGCGCAACACAGGCTTTGCAGGCGATCTTTCCTGCAAATGGCTAGGTACAATCGACGACAGCCTGCATTTATCAAAATTCTTTTTTGGAATTGTTTGGGACATTCCCAAAAGACGGGAATTTCATCAAGCTCTTGTGGACGAAAGTATAGATGTGGCCTTGCTGCAGGAAACATTACTTAACCCGGGAGATCGTCTAGCTTTCCCGAATTACGATGTTATCCGGGCTGATAGATTAACTGGACGGGGTGGCGGCTTGGCAGTGCTAGTGAAACGCGGTATTGACTACCACAGAAGCACAAACGCTGACATGCAGAGCATCGAAGCGGCTTCCGTGGTGGTCAATATGACGGGAGGTGTGCCGTTAAAAATCACATCGGTGTATGTCAGGTGTGGTAACAGGCTGCAAGAGGCGGATCTGGAAGTCCTTTTAGACTGCTCGGGTCCACTTATTGTGGCAGGGGACTTCAACTGCAAACATCGAGCATGGCATTCCAGGTTGAATTCCACCAGTGGGATCCGACTGTACAACCATGTGATACAATGGCTACCTCATACATAGTACTGAGGAGCCGACGCACCATCCATTTAATCACCTTCAGGCACCTGATGTTCTTGATTTGGCATTATCCAAAAACTGTAGCTACAGTATCACTTCTCGAATCATGTATGACATCTCAAGCGATCGTCTTCCCGTCGTTTTGGAAGTGGCTAATGAGCAGATCTTGGGGGATGAAATCCCTCCAAGGAAACGCATTGATTGGGAGCTATACAAGTCGCTCCTCAAAGAGTTCCCCAATATACCGATCATAGATGATGAGAATGGTATAGATGCGGCTCAAGCAGAGTGGACAAGTTTTGTTCAGCAAACTCTGCAGCGTGCAGCTGTACTTCCCGTGCAGAGACACGGCAGACCTTTTCTGCCAGCAGACATTCGTCAGATAATTTCTGATAAAAGAGCTGCAATTAAGCAAGGGAAAAGGTCTTGTCATCCTGATGACAGAGCGACGAATCTTGTTCACGAAGTAAGAAATGCTCTTCATGAATTCCGCAATGAGCAATGGAACGACTTTCTGGCGGGGATGCATGACTCAAGCATTCCTCTCTGGGAGGTAGCGAAGTCGCTCAAAAACGGAAAGCGTGAACAAATCCCACACATTCACGTTCCTGGAGGCATTGTCTTCAGGACGGAGGAGAAGGTTGAGGTTTTCGCCGATGCCATGGAAAGACAGTTCTCTCCCAACTATGATCTTGATAATGACCTCGACGAGGAGCAACACATCGTAAGATCTGTCAGGAGATATTTTAGGGCCAACGGCGTCAGTGACAGTCGCGCATTCGTTGGTGATTTTTCTTCATCAGACGATTCTTCTTCAGAAGCTTCTTCAACCGAAGATTTGCTTAGCTCATCAGCGGTATCTCCTGAGATCCCGCATTGCACACTAGCAGAGATTCAAGGTCATATTAAAGACCTTAAAGTGCGTAAAGCACCTGGGGAGGATCAAATCACTAATAAGGCGCTGAAGCTGCTTTCGCGGAAGTCCTTAACTTATCTCGTGGCAATAGTCAATGCCATGCTAAGGATCCAGTACTTCCCATCCGCGTGGAAGACCGCTGAAGTTGTAATGATTCCAAAGAAGGTGGGTTCGATATTTCCTCAGGATTATCGTCCCATTAGCCTACTGTCAGCTGCGTCTAAGCTCGCTGAAAAGGTGATTCTACGTCACCTTGAGAATTTCTCGTCAGATCACCATGTGATTCCTGACGTGCAATTCGGTTTTCGGTCTGAACATAGTACGGAGCTACAGGCGGTTAGGCTGGTGGAACGTGTAACCAGAGGATTCACCCTTAACGAAAGTACTGGCATCTTGCTTTTGGATGTCTCAAAAGCATTTGACAAGGTGTGGCACGCGGGCATCTTGTATACACTAATCCAAAAGGGCTTCCCTTTTTGGCTTCTAAAACTACTGAAATCCTTCCTTGAAGGTAGGAAATTTCGGATCAAAATTGACAACGTCCTGTCGACAACACGGCTGATTACAGCCGGCATCCCTCAGGGTTCGGTCCTTGGACCTATCCTTTACTCACTGTACATCCATGACGTCCCTAGTCCCAGCAACTGTGAAGTATATCTCTATGCTCACGATACTGCATTGGTGGCTCAGTCGCGGTCTGGTGACCTAGTCCATGACAGGCTGCAAAGTGCGGTGGAGGAAGTATTAGATTGGGCGGACCGGTGGCTAATTAAAATAAACCATTCGAAAACGCAGGCAATCTACTGTACAAAAAGACGTCGCGGCGTTCCGTCTGAAGTTTCAATGAATGGACTTCGTATACCATGGGAATCCTCCGCTAAGTATCTCGGTGTCATTCTGGACAAAGGGATGACTTGGCGGAACCATATGGAAGCGCTAAAAACTAAATTCCAAATTACGTTTCGGCAGCTTTTCCCATTATTATGTAAACGGTCAAAATTAAGTTTGATTAACAAGATTCGACTCTATAAGGTGGTCATAAGACCAGCAATGACTTACGCATGTGCGGCTTGGTGTTTTATTGCTAAAACACACATGCGAAATCTGCAGGTTCTGCAAAGCAGGACGTTGCGCACTATTGCTGATGCCCCATGGTATGTCTCTAACGAAACTCTACATAGAGACCTCGATGTCCCTTACCTAAAGGACTACATTAAGCAACAGGCGCAGCGGCGCTATAGCCTAGCGGAATCGCACAGCAACCCTCTGTTGCGTGAGTCAGTGGACTACACAGTCGAGCAAGTTCGCAAGCACAAAACGCCGCGGCTCGCACTGTAATCAAAATTAACTCGTGAACTTAGGACAACCAAAATTGGAGCATCTTTACACAATCTTTAAAAAAAAAATCAAATATTTTTAGACCATTCAAAATCTGTGAAGTGATTTTAACAATGCCTAAACGCTGCCTATCCTAAAAGATTCTCTTCTTCCCCTTTGCTCTCGTTCTTCCTTCTCTCCTTTCCTTCCCCTTTTTTCCTTAAAATTGTCTGGTTTCTGGGTTACCAGACCTGACAGACTTACAAACTGACACTGTGACTCAAGAGCAAAGGTCCCACGGACCGCTCTGACAACCAACGATGACTTGGTGACTTGATGAGAGTCGAATGCCTTTGCCAAGTCAACAAAAACACAAGCAGTTGGTTTGCCAATATCGAGATTCGTGTATATTTTATTTGTTAATTTTACAATAGCATCTTGAGCAGATTTGCCTTCTTGAAAACCATATTGCTCTTCCGCTATTAAGTTATATTTTTTTGCAAATTCGGTGAATCGTTTTTTTAACAATTTTTCAAATATTTTGGAAAATTTTGTTAACATGGAAATTGGTCGATAGTTGATAGGTTTTTCTCTTGCTTCAGATTTAAATAATGGTTTTACCATAGCGTGTTTTGAACATGAAGGGAATATTCCGTTATTCATACAAGAATTTATTAAATATGATAGTATGCCGCAGATGTTGCAATTTATTCTCTTGAGAATATACGCTGTTATATTATCTAGACCTGGAGATTTTCTTAATTTCAATTCATTGATTATTGTCCTTATTTCATGCGTATCGGTCGGTTCCAGATATAATGAGTTATATAATCTGGTCTTATATAATTTTATTTCTCCGCGTTTTTTATGCTTTCTGACAACCTTTTCCCGATTTTTGAAAAATATTCACAAAATTCATTTGCTATATCTACATCATTACTCAGTAGTTCACCATTTTCTTTTTTAATTGTACTAATTTTGTTGTTTTGTTTTTTGCCTTGTATTTTATTGATAATAATATATTATACAAAGTTAAATAAATAAGGAACACTTCTGAAATAAAATAAAATACATTCTGGAATCAAAGTTCACCCATTGACTGATTTCATTCAGCATCGTCAACATGGCAAGGCCGCAGTAGGTCAATGATAAGGAGTTAATGCACATGCATCAGCTAGATCTATCAAATGTCATTCGGCTTGGTATTGGTGTGTATGTATTAATGACCAGCTTGGATAAACTATTTCTAACTTTGTTGATCAAGCTGGAATTAGTAGCATTTTCAGGACAAGTTTGCCTAATTTAGAGCGATCTATTTTCAACCCATACCTGGGCCATTTCAAGCAACATGCACCTTTTCAACATTTTTAGCGCAAGTAAACCTAACATCCCTTATGCTATTTATACATTGTTTTCACCACTATACCTATAGGTGCACTATGGGCCAATTGCACCATTTTTGAGGGCCAATTGTACAATCTCTGATGTTCGACCGTCAGTTTGGACCAATGGAAAAAGACCTTATTGAAATGCAATTTGACGGAAGCTGTCAAAGCTCTCTGAATAACATGCTGCCGCGGCATCACGGATTTATGCGGATCGGTTTCCCAATCGAGTGCAACCAACCCCTCGTGTCTTTTTTAATGTAATACAAAGGGCTCGTGAATCAGGTGCCTTAAGACCTCACATGGGAGGGCATGCCGGTGCTCCAAGACCGCACGATCAAATACAGGTCCGCACTGAAATATTTGTCGGGAGGATACTTTATCAGACAACGTAACATTTTGTCTATTTTTACACACATATTTTGGTTTA